CTTAATCTCACCTACTTGGATGGCTCAATGGTGTAGGCGTTAGTCTTGGATTAAATTTCAAAACCGTGGCCAAAGTTGCCTAATCTTCCTCTGCAGCTGACAGCTTTACCCCAAGATAAGCCAAGAACAAAGACCCGCCTGGGGCATCTTTAAAGCTGTGAAGGTTATTTCTCCCTAACACCTTGCTTCTGTTTCTCACAGATGAGGCTGGAGGAAAAAGGAACACCCTCATAGGTGTAGGGGCCTTCTGTAAGGTGACCAGACAGGTCTGAGCAGCTTTCTGGGCCCCTTGGCAGATAGGAGACAGCAGGGGCCCTTCTCGCAGGATTCCGTGATGCACTCCATCCTAGGGATGAATCCAGGACCGCCCTCACCTCCCTTAGATCTTCCTCCTAGAGGGAAGTCCCTCTCAGCCACCTTTGCCAAGCTCTGACCTGTGTCTCCATTAATGGCTATTTACTGCTCACCCCCAATCTATTTATAGCAGTGAGTTTAAACTGCCTACATGATTCAAATTTTAAAACTTACAGTTTTATGGTTTTCAAATAACAATCCATATTTGGATACGTTATCACATCGCTCCTGAACTAGGAGTCATAATAAAATGTTGAGAGGTGGATTTTTAAAAAAGGAAGGAGGTGGGTGGAATCTCCTACAAAGTAAAGATTGTCACTGTCACCTTCTTTTTGTTTTTCTGAGATGAGGTCTTGCTCTGTTGTGCAGGCTTACCTTGAACCCCTGGGCTCAAGGCATCCTCCTGTCTCAGCCTCCCCAGTAGCTGGGACTACAGGCATGTGCCACAGCCCCTGACCCTGTCACCTTCTTTACCCTTCTTTTCCACATCACATGCTCTCAGGGAAGATTAAAGGAAATGATGAACGTTCGACTCAGCACATACCTAGCCATAAGGAATTTGTGATTATTGTCGATGATGGTCTTCCTAGAAGAGTGATTGGCACCCTGTTGTTGTATTTATTTATTATTATTTATTTATTTATGACAGTGGAATGCATTACAATTCTTATTACACATATAGAGCACAATTTTGGTATCTCTGGTTGTATACAAGTATATTCACACTAATTCATGTCTTTATACATGTGCTTTGGATAATAATAATCATCACATATAGATAGTGCTTTACCTAATTGGTTTTCTTAATTGATCCATGGGTTTATCCAGTGGCATTATTCCTATCAATGATCATTTCCAAGTGTCTGCACATTGCATAAATGAAACACCAACAAAAAGATAAAAAAATTAGGGAAGCTGGGGTCTGTAGTACACACCTATAATCCCAGCAACTGGGAGTGTGGGCTGAGGCAGGAGGTTCACAATTCAAGTTCTCGGTCACTGCTGACAACATAGCAAGACCTTGTTTCAAAAATAAAAGATAAAAAAAAAAAAAGCTGAGGATGTAGCTCAGTGGTAGAGCATCCCTGGTTCAGGTCCTAGTACAGCAAGATTAAAATAAAATAAATAAATCAAGGAGTGGAAAACACTGGTCTATATAAACTGGTATATGCATCCTGGTTCCTGTTTGTCACTCTTCTTGGGATTCAGCCTCCACCTGGCACCCTGCTCTTTCTTGAGTCCCGTAGCTTCAGTAGCTTTTCAGTATTCTTCTCTGACATCCATCCTGAGGCCAAGTGTTTTCTATCCTACTTGGGAGTCTGCCTTCTTCAGCCATGCCCTTAAATGAAAGAGCAGGAGGAACCCCTGGTGGATTTGACCTTCATTGAACAGTGTTTTGCAGGCACTGGACTAGGCACCAGGGATGCACTGTGATAAGATGGAGTTGCTGCTCTCAAGTGGCTTATAGGCTAGAGGAGGAAAGCTCCCAACGAGTCGGAGACAATTCCTAAGGGTCTGGAGTGGGAGATTGTAACACTTGCACCACTTGTGGGTGAGACTGGAATCAGTGGAACATGTTAGGCTTGAGGCACCCATGGGAGGAGGGCTGAGTCTGAGCCAAAAGCCTGTGAGCGAGAGCAGGTAGATGGATAGATTCCCCAGGCACCAGTCGCCCAGGAAGTGGGCCAGGAACAGAGCTCTGCAGAATTCCAATGACTCCAGTGTCTAAGTGTGGCTTCACATTTCCTTTCATTTAAAGGCACGGAAACAACACGTAGGGATATTGTTGGGATAATCTGTAGAAGAGCAGTAAGTTGATAGATGAGAAATGCATTTAAATGGCCTGGTTCTGTCCTCTTCTAAGGTCAGGTTGGGGAAAGAACTACCCTGCGATGATGCTGCAGGGCTAGGAATGCTGGCAAATTGCTGGTGGCTGGCACCGTCCACTCACAAGGACACAGATGGCCACAGCAGAGACCTGCACATTTGAAGATCATTTATTAGACCAGAGTATGGAAAACAGCCCAAGTCCTATCCGTATTGTTCATCTGTGAATGGGTTATTACACAGCCATTGAAAAAGTGAGCAAGTTCTTCATGTACTGATCCGTAAAACATCCAGACACGTGCGCTCGCGCACACACACACACAGACTGTGCTTCCAATTGTGTAAAAAACACACAGGGGACAATATGACATTTGCATTCTAAGCACACATTGACATGGATATGTGATATCTCTGGAAAGATTAAAAAAAGAAAAAAAAAACTAGTAGCCTTAGTTGCCCCAGGGAACCAAAGGGTTGAGCAGGATTGGGGGAGGGGGGTCAGCATTCATTTTGTAGCTTTTGAATTCTGGATTATGTAAAAAAGTAACCAATGGGGGGGAATGCCTCTATTTTTAGAAGAAAAGAAAAAGTGATCAAGAGCTGTAGGAGATGCCCGGATGAGAAGCCCCCACAGGATGGAGGGTTAGTGATAGTGGAATATGCTTGTCTTGGATCAGACACACCACTGGCGATCAGGGCTCAGTCATGCTGCCAAGCTGCTCTTTGTGGTCAAGTCTATGTGATGAGAAGAAGGACATTTCTGGGGAAGGCAGCAGGGGTAGAGGTGGTAAGAAGGTTTGCTGAGCCCCAGTGCTAGTGTGCAAGAGATCTCCAGTTCTCGTTGCAACCAGGTAGTCAGATGCTGGAGACCGAGGTTTGGGCTATACAGTTTTTACCCTTTTATATAACTTCCTTGGAGCTGGGGACATAGCTCAGTTGGTAGGGTGTTTGCCTCGCATGCACAAGGCCCTGGGTTCAATCCCTAGCGCCACCAAACAAAAAACAAACAAACAAAAAACCCTTTCTTGTTTTCCTCTTAAATCTCATCCTCTTTCTCATAATGATGGATATCGAAGTCTTAAAATGAAGAGGATCTGCAAGCTTATTTTCCAGAACAAGAAGAAAGGTGGACATCCTGGTGCTGATCCTGGAGGGGAAGAGAGACTTGGCAATCTGGATAGGTGGTGACAACTGCCAAGAGGCCAGCAGGACAGGGGGATTCCCTGAGACCTGCCACCTGAAAAAGGAGAGCTACCAGGAGCCTGCCTGGGCCTGTGAACTGCCCGGGGCTCGGGAGAAAGGGGTTCCTCCAATGCAGTGACAGAGAAGCAGTGCTCAGTCACAGGATTAAACCTGAAATTGTCCCAGGTGAGGGAGGCGATCCCATTCTTGTTGTCACAGAGAGCTAGGCCACTTCTTCGTTCAACAGGCGTTACTTTATCTTCACTGTTACTACAGAGCACAGGGGACACTCCTGTTTATCATCTTTATGCTGATCCTAAAACGGCACTAAAAGTTTCAAATGAGGGAAGATAATTTATCCCCATTTCATCTCCCTTCTATTTGGTTTTAGCCACTTGCTGCTGTGACTCCAGTTTTGTCCACTCTCCCAGAAATACATCATCACACGTGGATGGACTGCCCAAGGGCAGGCAGGTCCCCGCAGAGTCAGTGAAGGATGAGATTCCAGCTCTGCTCACAGGCAGCCTGCATTCTCCTCAGGGGACGATCACATTCAGAAATGAGCAGCAGTGCCCGAGAGCATAGGGTCAACACCAAGACAGAGGACTTGATAATAATGGCTCCAGGGCTCATGTTGACAGAGGAGTCCTGGAGGATCAAGATATTCAAGTTTCTGGGATTTGATGGGCCTCGAAAGACAGGTTAGATAGATGTAAGGGAGGTCTAAAAGCACTTCAGGTGGGACCATCTGTGTGAGGCACCCTTGTGGGATGACAAGGGACCCAGTTAGCTGGAGAAGACAGAATGAACAATGTCAATGAGAGTCTAAAGGAGGCATTCCCCAGATCCAGAGAAACCCACGCACTGCAAATGTAGCTGTCAGGGCTTTCGAGAGATGTGCCAAGTGATCCAATATGATCCACAACTAGCCTGCCAGGCGTGGAGGAAGGGGATGGGTCTGGGGAGGCTGTGGGATCTGGGTTTGACACAATCCTCTTACGTCTCTCTGCACAGTTGGAGCCAAGGTAAGGGCAGACTTTAACAAGACTCCACTCTCTCCCTGCAAGCTCAGCTCGTGTTATTCTTTTCTCTCCCTGTCTCCATTCCCTTTCCTGTGCATGGCCAGATGTGGAGAAGAGACCCTCTCTCACTGTGAGTTGTGGTTGGGATCTCAACCTGGGATGTTCCGTTTTAGGGAAGATGTACGCATGCGTAGCTGAGGAGGGCGTATAGAACGTGGGAACCGTGCCAGCGCTCCTGTGGTCTGGGAATCGTCCGTGTTCAGAGCCAGCTGTGACACTGTTTAGCTGGGTGGACTTGGGCTGTCACTGTCACCCCGTCCTTGGTTTCTTTTACTTGTAAAATGAAGGTTCGCTAAGACCTTCCTGCCTCATATGATTTTCTTGAGGTGCAAATGAAATAATGTTAGTGAAAGTACTTTGGAGACTGAAGACTTTACTAGCAGCAGTTCCAGGTGAAGACTACCTGGGCACAGAGGGGAGTGGAATTGGCTGGGTAAGTGCCAGCCAGCCCTATGATTTTATAAAATTATTTTATATCACTATAAGAAGTTTAATTATGAGCTGCCTTTGATGTTTTAATAGCCCTCACTCTAATGACACTGTTTTCCTCCTTAGATGTCCTTGAGTTCCAGCTCCCCTCTGAAAGTTCCAGCATGGTCCCATCAAGCGTCAGGGGGATCCCCAGCCCTCGAAGCAGCAACTAAGATTCTCATGCAGCACCTTCAGAGACACCCTGGGCTCCAGTCATTCCTCATCCAGGATCAGAGCCACAGCTGATCTGAAAGTGGAATAGAACTGTTCTAGAAATGACGAGATGCTCTATGTGGCGGCGAGCTGGGTTCTCCAGCCTTCTCCATTAGAAGCCCTTCCAGTTTAAGTTCCTCGTTGTAAAAGTGAGTCCTCCAGTGTCCCAGTGAAAACAAATTAAAAGCAAAAATGTTGAAAAATTTTACAAACTTAGAAACGTGGTGGTAGCTAACGTGGGATTGGTGAAGGGTCAATTTTGGGTGTGTGAGGCAGGTCCAGGAGGAAATGACAGCACACCCCCCAGCTCCTTGGGCAGTTTAATGAGGAGCTATTTATCATGGTGACTTACCTGGTTTGCTAGGGCCCGTGTCCCTTTTCTCTGTGTCTGTGTCCAAATCTTTCTTTGTGTGTTTGGTGCCAGGATTGAACCCAAGGCCTCCAATGTGCTCTACCACTGGGCTGCACCCCCACCCCACAAATCAGTTTTGATAAAAACACCAGTCCTGTTGGATTAGGGCCAATCCTAATGGCCTCACTTAACCCTAATTACCTCTTTAGAGGCCCTGTCTCCAAATATGGTCTCATTTGAAAACACTGGGAGGTAGGACTTTGGCATATAAATTTGCAGGGGACACAATTTGGCCCATGACACACACTACAGACAAGGTTCAGAGAAGCAAGAAGGGATGGTGAGACACCCAGGAACTAGCACCAGCAGAAACCTTTAGCATCCAGGCTGCAGAAGTAGATGGGAGACAGTGGAGATCCTGGGACCTAGTCACAACTATAGCCACAAGAAAGGAGTCACCTCCAGAATGTGTGCCATGGGGTAGAGGAAAAGCCACTGTTAAGACCAGGCAGGGAGGGGAGAGGGATAAGACCTGCCCCTTCTCTTACCACACTCCTGACAGAGCTTCCGCTGTTCACCATCTGGAACGGGAGCAAACACACCTGGGTGCCACTGTCAGATGCCAGCCTCCTGAGGCAGAGAGCAGAGCTGCCAGGTGAGCTGGGAGGCTGGGCGATGAGGAGACACAGAGTGAGTGGCACAATGGAGGGAAAGAGTACGTTACCAGAGGCAGAATTACAATTAATGTTTGAGAAACTTAAATGGTCTTTAGTTACTGGAAAACAGAAAATGTCACTTTCCTGCAAAAATATTAGTCATACATTCTAAACTAGACCACCTACCCCATAACCATGTCAATGTCCCAGAAGTTACCATTCTAGAAAACATATCGACCCAGGTAAAGCAAAAAAAAAAACAAAAAAAAAAACCAAATATGTTTGTCAAATTTGTTTGTGATGTTTGAATACTTACATTCTTATAGTGTGTACTATAATATATAGACACACACACACACATGCGTATATATATTTTTAATGGTTTAAAACAGTTACCTGCCTGGCAGGATGACACAGGGCATGATGGTTTGAATGTCCAAATGAAAGGTAGGGACCAAACATGACCAAATTACAATTAATGTGTTGGCACCATCCTGGGTGGCACTAGTGTGTGTTATCCTGCAATTAGCCCTTATGTCCTTGGGCAAAGCAGCTGGCTCTCAGGAAGGGCACCCTCTCCCTGGAGCCTGAGTCCCCGTGGTTGCTCCCGGGAGCCACAAACAGGTATGGAAGCTGAGGTGGCCTGCATCCTCGCCCGTCTGACCTTGCTTGGCCCAGTGCACCCTTTGATTATGTCAAGAGCCAGTCACATTGTGGGCAGATGTTCAAATGGGCCAGACTAGTGTCTACCCCCAGGCCCTTTTGGATCTTCTGCACCAGGGATCTACCAAGAGAAAAAGGGCTCAGCCAGTGCCAGCATCTGTGCTTTGCTTTAGCTGCATTTGAGTTCTCTCTTCCTGTATCACAGAGCATTCCAAATTTATTTGCTGCATGGAGAAGTCAGCTATTTTCTTCAAGAATCTGAAGTTTGGGCAGGGATCTTTACAGGGAGCTTGAGTCTAGTCCACATTCCACTTCCAAGATGGCGGAGGGACAGGTGGGCACTCAGCTAGGCTGAGGGTGGGGCCCGTTTCCCTCCATATGGCCTGGGCCTTAGGGCATGGGGCTAAGCCAGATGGAATCTGAATCACCTCTTGATCTTGGAAGTCTCATAGTGTCACTTCTTTCATCCCTCGTTGGCCAGAGAGACTTGTCCAATTTCAAGCAGAGGTGACAGACTCTGGAAAGTGGCAAGGTTCTGGAAGTACATGTGGGCTGGGAAATATTTTTGCAAATATTTTGGAATAGACTCTGCCTCAGGATGGTTCCTTGTGTGCCCCTTAACTGTCTGTACGTCACAACACAGTGGTATGAACTAGAAACAATCAATAAAGATGATATTGCTATTCATTAATTCAGCAAAACTTTATAGAATACCTACTGTGCTAGGTTTTGGGAATAGAGTTGTCCCTCAGAATGTGAATTCTGACATCAAAATCAACTGATGCTCAAGTCTCTTGTGGACAAATGGTGTGATATCTGCCTATAACCTACATATATTTGCATGTAACTTTTTATTTCTTTTGGTGCCAGGAATTGTGGTTAGAGTCTTGTGTGTGCTAAGCATGGGCTCAGTAAGCTAGACCCCCCAGCCCCTCCCATATACTTTAAAATGTTTCTAGATGACTTGTAATAACTAACACAATGTAAATATGTTGTAAATAATATAAGCAGTTATACTATATGACATAAGGAATAACGACAAGAAAAGGCAGCTTGTACGTGACCAGTACAGAGATGATCATGGTGGACCTAACTACAAAGTATACTTTGGCACCAGGAAAATTGTCTTTTTCCGATTTTTGTGATCTCTGATTGGTTGAACTCTAGGATATAGGACCTGTGGATACAGAGGGCCTAGTGTGTAGGTGTGAGAAAAACCTACTCCTGCTTTCAAGGTGCTAGTACAGCTGGGGAGTGGACAGCAGCTATGATAATACCATGCTGGCTGCAAGGAGTGTGTACTGTGCCAGCCCCCAGAAGGGACAAGTAAGCCACTCCTCGGGGAGTTACAGAAGTGACATCCAAGCACAGACCTGGGAATAAGTAGTAAATAGGAAGTGAGTTGGAACAGTTCAGAGAAGAATAAGATGGAAATATGCAGAGATCCAAGGCAAAACAGGTGACCAACTATCCCGGTTGCCCAGGACTATCCTGGGTTTCACCAAGTCCAGGAAGCCCCTGGGTCGCTGGGAATTAGCCTTGGGCTGGTGAATGGTCTAGGAAAGCTGGCATCTACAGAAGTTGGAGTGAAGCCATGGTGGGGTTAGAGAGAGAGAAAGCTGGAAAAGTAGCCAAGAGTCCAAGCAGGAAGCCTAGCCGTGGTAGAGGTGAGGGCTTCATCACAGGCAGCTGAGCAATCAGGGATTTAAAGCCGTAGAGTGACCTGCCAAGACTTGCATATAGAAAGAGCTGTGGCTCCTGGATAATTAAGAAGAGGGATAATATTATTCAGCTATGAAAGGAGGTGAAATCCTGTCATTTGCAACAACATAGATGGAATTTGGGGACAGAACATTAGGTGAAATAAGCCAGGTACAGAAACAGAGACAGATACTATATGTTCTCATTCGTATGGGGAAACTCAAAAAGTTGATGTCATAGAAGGAGACGGTAGAACAGAGGTCATCACTGGAGGTTGGCAAGGGGTGGGGCCAGGGGATAGAGGGAGGTCAGATAACAGGTACCAAAGCACAGTTAAAACCAGGCATGGTGGTGCGCACCTGTAATCTCAACTACCGGAGGAACTGAGGCAGGAGGATTGCAAATTTGAGGTCAGTTTGGGCCACACAGCAAGACCCTGTTTCAAAAACAAAATAATGCAAGCCAAGTATGGTGGTGCATGCTTGTAATCTCAGCAGCTCGGGAGACTGAAGCAGGAAGATTGTAAGTTTGAGGCCAGCCTCAGCAATTTAACAAAACCCTGTCTCAAAAAACAAAAAAAAGAGAGCTAGGGACATAGCTCAGTGGCAGAGCTCCCCTGGGTTCAATCCACCAAAACAAATACCAACAAGTAATGCAGAGTTAGACAGAAGGAATAAGTTCTAGTCTTGTACAGTACAGCAGGGTGCTGTAGTGTACAATAATTCATTGTATACTTTATAAAGAATTAGGAGAAGAGTTTGATGTTTCCCAGAACAAAGAAATGGCAAATGTTTAAGCAGATGCAAATGCTAATTATCCTGATGTGATCATTACACATTGCATAGATATATCAAATTATCACATTGGACCCCATAATTATGTGCAATTTTTTTAAAAAAAATATAAAATGATTTTGAAAGAAGAGAGGATGAGAGCAAGCTATGGGAAGGCACAACAGAGAAGAAGCGAAGAAACAAGTTCCCAGGGCCACCCTCCAAAGGACAGGGAATGCACGGGGAGCTTGTCCAAGCCTAGAAGAGGCCTGGGACAGCCAGACCTGTGGGTCCAGACAAGCTGAAAGGGAGCCGAGAGCTGGTCAAGAGCACCTTCTTAACCATCCATTCATTTTACCCTGTCCATCTTTGTCCATCTTCTACTGCAGTTATTTCTGCGATTTTCTTATTCCCTCCTACCCTCTAGATTGAGACTTCTTCAGAGGATCCTAGTCTCACCCACTCCATATTTCCACATTTTCTCTTATGCATTCTGCACATGATTGGCATTTGATGGTAACACTGTCACCAGAATGTCATCGGAGGATGGGAAATGTTCATTTCTCAGCAGCCTCTTCAGTCATTAGCAATAACAGCAGACAGACACTAGAGGGCACTCCTTCCTCTTTTATCTGAGTCCAGGGCCCTGCACCTTTTCTGCCCAGTTAGGTCTCTTATTCCACCATCACTCACGTTGTGGAAAACATAGTTTTCACCACTATTGAGGAGGGGGTTTGAGGAGTTTTGAATGTGTATAGCAACACCTCAGGCAAATGCTCATTTATCCAGCTCAGGTCTTTGATTCCATTAGAATTATTCCAACAAATATGAGTTTTTGAAAAACTTCCAGTCTAAAGAAGAAACCCATATTTTAAAACATAATCAACCACTTTACATCTATTAGGATGGTTATGATCACTAAAGAAAAAATGAAAGCAAGTTGTCAGGGGTGTGGAGAAATTGCTGGTGGGAAGGTAAATTGGTGCAGCAGTATGGAAAGTAATATGGAGACCCTCAAAATTTATACTGGGTATAGCTCTGTGGTGGGACACCTGCCTAGCACGTGCCAGGCCCTGTGTTCCATCTTCAGCACTCGAAAAAAAATTACACACTGAAAGCAGGGATTCAATCAGATGTTTGTCTTTATGTTCATAGCAGCATTATTCTCCATTGCCAAGGGAGGGAAGCAGCCACTGTCGATGGATAGACAACGTGGCCTAATACGTACAAGGGAATATTATTCAGCCTGAGAAAGGATGCAGTTCTGACACGCGCTCCCCCATGGATGAACCTGGGGGATGTGACGCTAGGTGAACCATGACAGTCACCACAGGACAAAAGCTGTAGGGTTCCACAATGTAGCCTGTGCCAGGTTCTGTATTTCATCGCTAAAGTAGTCAAATCCTACAGGCAGGCAGTTCAGTCTGGCTGTCAGGGGAATGCGGAGCCAGGTTCAATGGGTTCAGAGTTTTAGTTTGGAATGAAAGAGCTCTGGAGATGGATGGTTGTGGGAGGCTGCCCTGCCCATGAGCTGAGCACCCTCTCTCAGCCTTGAGTAAGGGAGGTGTTTGGCCTGGCATCGCAGGCCACGTGCTATGTGAAGCAAGCGGCCTCCACCATCACTGGGCAAAAGAAGTCTGCTCTAGCCCTGGACTTGGGCGTTACCCAATGGGGTTGGACAACCCCCTTTGAAACCTCATCCCCTGCCTTATTTGGTGAAGAACATTCCATGGAAACTCCTTTGTGTCTCCCCCCATAAACGTAGAGATTCCGGGTGCACGCGCTCTTGCCTTCCAGCATGGACGAGGACCCTTGAGGTCGCAGAGGAGTTCCCACTCTCCATCTGAGAAACTCATGTCCGTGGGTTGCGTGATTTCTTCGCTGTTTTCTTAGTTTAATGTCGCAACCAGCTCCTCTGAACCCAGTTCATCCCATCTTGGCGGGCTGCTGGCGGAGATGGCGGAGATGGTTGCACAACAGTGCGGATGTACCCGATGCCACTGAACTACATACTCTAAAATGAAAGAGAAAAAGACACAGGTATGCTTAAGCACCATTTTAGATACAACCTCATCTTTACCATAGTGTTCTGGGGTGGTGAGGGGCTGCACAGCAGGGTCACTCTGTGTCCCTAAGAGAGGTTGAAGTGGCTTCAGACACAATGGTCCTTGCTAAGTCTCATCTCCCACCCCCTGGGCTCCTGATTACCCTCTCTGTCTATTCCAGGCCTTGCTTTCTCTGTTAAGGGCCTTCATGTGTCTTATACTCTATATCCCATACCTTATAACTCATCTCAAAAACGCCATCTTGTTTTAGTCACCTTGTGTATCGCTGTGACAGAATACCTGACAAAAACATCTGAGAGAAGGGAGAGTTTATTGGGGTTCATGGTTTCAGAGGTTCAGTCCATAGATGGCAGCTCCAGTGCTCTGCTCCCCAGCTGAGGCAGCACATCATGGAGGAAGAGCTGCTCAGGAAGCAGACCGGGAGGGGTGGGGTGGAGGCAGGGCCACAGGGAACAGTGACCCACCTCCTCTGCCTACAGTTACCACCTCACCCCGTGCGTCCCTTTAACCTAGGATGGACTGCTTAGGTCACAGCTCCCACAGTCCAGGCATTCTGTCACTGGAATACTCCTGCATTAACACAGGAGCTTCAGGGAAACACCTCAGGCCCAAACCGCAGCACCTCCTTTGAGCTAGTCTTACTCTAAGAGTATTTCATTTGGCCTCAGTGTTTTCCTGCAACTTAGTGGTGTACCTTTCTTGTGGTCGTTAATATCTGCTCTCCTTAAACCAGGAAGCCTAGTCTCAGCCTTCACTTCATGGAAATCGCTCTCAGGAGTTCCTAGGTCCTCCTGTTGGCTCTCTCCAGGGGCCTTTTCTCCATCCTCATCCTACTTGATCTCTCATAGCATTCAGTGCATAGGGCATTCTCAGGAGACTGCCCCCGTCTTAGTGGCTGCCCCTGAAACTCACGCTCTCCTCAGCTACTGTGGACTTTCCCTGGAAAGTGAATCTGGCTTCCTCTACTGATCCCCCTCTGCCTCAGTCTTGGAAGACTAATCAGCTCTGTTTGCTTTAATGGATTATAATGGTGGCTTCCAAATCTCTGTCTCCAATGCTGACGGTTCCAATGCTGACCGTCCTCCCTCATTTAATACCACACTTCCTCCCACCCTCATTTATAGGGCATTTCCTCTTTGGATGTTCTGCCAAACAACTCAGCAGCCAGGGATCTTTATTTCATAAACATACACTGGAGAGGCAAGAATCTGGGTACTTCTGGTAGGGCTGCTCCCATCCTACCTCAAGGTCTGGGGTGGGTCGTGTAACTTCTGTGAGTCTCAGTTTCCTTATTTGGGAAGACATAGACTTCACAAAAATACTGTTCATGAGGAATAAGAAGAAATAGCTGTGTATGTATATGTATAGATATCATAAATAAAAAAAGTATTCCTCTGCATCTATGGGAGATTGGTTCAACGAACCCCTGAGGTTTGTGGATGCTCAAACCCTTTACATAAATAATGCAGTATTTGCATATAAGCTGTATACATCCGTTCTGCCTTCTTAGGGTAAGAATATAACCAAGCTATTGAGTGGTTCCCAGGCCAACAGCTATTTCAAGTGAGAACATACTAGAAATGCAGGCTCTTGGTCACCATCCCAAGCCTAATGAATCTGAATCATCATTTTTAACAAGACCTTCCATGGTTCACATGCACATTAGTTTATAAGGCAAAAAATATTCTCCAAAACAAAGTCTAAACTCCTTAATTTGTCAGAGTTCTCCAGTAGCTTTTCAACCTTATATTCTCTTGCTTCAGAACATATACTATCTGCTTCCCTTGTTTTTTATTATTATTATTAGTGCCAGGGATTGAACCCAAAGGTGCTTAACCACTGAGCTACATCCCCAGCCTTCTTTTATTTTTTGATACAGGGTTTCACTGAGTTGCTGAGACTGGCTTTGAACTTGCGATCCTCCTTCCTCAACCTCCCTTGTTGCTGAGATTACAGGTGTGCACCACCACACCCAGCTCTGCTTCCCTTTAACTGCAGAGAGGGGTATCGCTGCATTGATAAATGGTAGGAAAATGAGTTAAGTATGACTCGGCACAGCATGAGAATCCAGAAGGCAATACTTGTTGAATACCAGATGGCTGCCAGAGACAGTAACTGCTCTGTGTGAGAAGGAGAGATTCATCGTGATTCTCAAAGTTTTTAAAGTCTTTACCAAGTAGAAAATCCATTTGGTTCTTTAAGGTTGTTGACATTCATACAGGCTAGGGCGAGCAGGGCAGAGCTGCAGGGAGATGGAATGATTTCTGCAAAGCCAGAAAAAGGGGGGAAAAAAACAGAAACTGGACAACTTTGCCTGAAATCAAGGGGAGTAACAGAGATAAGATTGGAAAAATGCTTAAGAAGCCAAGGTATTTATTCGAGAGTGCAGTGTTTCCTCTAAGTTGCTCATGATGAAATTTTGATGTCTCATTCCATTATCAAAACATAGCAGCACCCTTTAAGAAAATTGATGGTACAATTGACATGCATCATAAAAATCACAATTACCAGCACATGTGCCCATGAGGAAACCAAACCATGAAGTAAATATCATCTGTTGTTGCCATATCTTTATTATTTATTTGCTTCTTGTTCATTCATTTTCTCATTTATGAATGCTAGCAGATCAAAGTATGGACCCTTACTCATTTGGAGAAAAGTACTGGTGAGTGGGGGAAACTTAGGGACGAGATATTTACAAGCTGAGAAAGTTCTATTCAGTAACTGTTCTTTTCTCTATGAATTGGGGAAGGTCGTGGTCATTCGATCTGAGACCAGACCACCTCGGCTTAGCCCAAAGAACATAGCGTTCCCAGGGATCATGGATTTAGCCTAGCTGTGGACCGTGGGAAGCAAAATCCTCAAAGGATAAACGTGTGCTTTTAGGCAGATGACTCTGGTAACTGTATACAGGATGGGTTGATGGAGGGAGCCAAGGGAGACAGGAAGACCAGTTAGGAGATTACAGCAGTAAACAGCAGTAATCCAGACTGGAGAGGAGTAATCAGATCTTCTGTTTACACAGTACTTTGTGTTATTCAAATTCTTCT